ATGTATTCCAACAGGCAACATAAAAATTACAAGAAGGACAAACTGGGATTTATATGAAGAGACTCTTAAAGCAACATGGGACCCAGGCCCCTTCTTTTACATTCAAACACCTGGAGACCTGGACCTTTTGATTGAAAAACTAACTTTTACTATGCTACAAGCACATAACTTCGCTACCAGAATAAAGGCCACTACCCGCAAAGTAATTTGGTGGAACTCGGCACTACAAGAAAAATAAAGAAGGTCAGAAAGCTCAAAAGGTACTTCCGTAGGGAGACTGATGTGAGAAAAAAAGAGGAAGCCAGGGAAAATTACACCAAAGAAAGAAAAGAATACAAGGACCTAATAAACAAAAGCAGGACAGAATCCTGGAAGGACTTTTGCTCAAACATTTGGGGTGATGATCCCTGGAAGGAGCCATTTTACATCGCATTCAAAAAGGCCAAAGTCTTTAACATACCAAATGCAATAATGAAGGAAAATGGAAGTTACACAGCCAACCTGGAAGAAACTTATGACTACATATTAAGTAGCATTTTTCCAGAGGACAACCAACATGAAGACACTGAAATTCATAAACAGGTCAGAGAAAGGAGCAAGTTAATCAACAACAACTCACTAGACAAGAACTTCACACCATCAGAGATAGGGAAACGCTTCAGACATATAAGCCGGAAAAATGCTCCCGGAATGGATTGTATCTCAGGAGACATGACAAAGAGGGCTTATCAGGCCATCCCCACTACATTTTTAGTGATTTACAACAAGTGTTTAGAATTAGGCTATTTCCCTAAGAAGTAGAAGGCAGCCCATATTAAATTAATTCCCAAAGGCAACATTGGTCAACAGATAAGGCTGCAAGACTTCCGGCCCATCTCATTGCTTTCTATTCTTGGAAAGGTGTTAGATGCTCTAATTGCAAGGAGGCTACAACATCATATGGAATCAAGGCATCTTTTCCACCCAAACCAGCATGGGTTTAGAAAAAACAGAAGTATGGGGACAGCCTTCTGCCAACTTATAGGGATCATTAAAGAAGCCAAACAGAAAGACATGCATACGTTAGCTGTTTCTATAGATTTCAAGGGAGCATTCGATTATGCATGGTGGCCAGCAATATTAGACTCCCTCAATAACAATAATTGCCCCAAGAACATCACTACTTTATTCAGGAGTTTTTTACAAGACAGAACAGCGTGTATTAAAACAAGCACAACTACACTCACAAAGGTAATAAGTAGAGGCTGCCCTCAGGGGTCTTGCTCTGGGCCCCTCTTGTGGCTGTTGGTCTATGATGGCCTCTTGAGGTTACAGGATAGTCAAACCTTCCAATGAAGCAATTCCTGATGCTGACATAGTTGGCTTTGCTGATGACACGCTGATTACAATGAAGCACAGGAACCAAAAGGTGCTGCAAGTTAACATGAATAATCTATTAAAGTCTGTCAATAGATGGGCCGAAAACAACAAGCTTAAATCAATATTGAAAAATGTAACTCAATAGTCTTTCCTAGAAAAAGACCCCTAGACAAGCATCCAGCTATCAAAATCAATGGCCAAAAGATCCAGACAAGTACCGAAATAAAATATCTTGGGATCCTGATAGATAAATCACTCACTTGGGATCCTCATATTCAGAACATCAAGAAAAAATGTATTAAACTTGCCCATTCTCTGCGTTCTATTTGTAAAAACCAATGGGGTATAAAACACCATACTAGCAGAACAATCTACGAGTGTGCTATTGAACCAGTGGTTCTCTATGGGGCTGAGGTATGGGGAAAGGCAGTCACCAAGCAACAGACTAAAAGAAACATCTTATCCATCCAACGAGCATGTCTGCTAACTGTAGCAAGAGCCTACAGAACAGCACCTACCAACGCACTCCAGATACTGGAAAACTTACCTCCCTTAGACCTCAAAATCCTGGAAACATACTGGAAGTTTCACCTTAGTAGAAATCCTAGTGGCCTCCTTAAAGAAATTGACCTTCCTATAAGTTTTTTTTTTTTTTTATGAAGTATCATCAAAAAAAAACATCAAAAATGACCTTCCTATAAGTATTAAAAACATAGCCGAGTATATCATTGAACACAAAATGGACTACACCTACAAGTACTACAAACTACACCCTGCCTGCAACCAGCATCCTATATACAATATCCACATCGCTACCCAAGAAAATTAACCACGGTTCAAAATCTTTATGGATGGGTCAAAGACACCAGAGGGCGAAGGGTGTTCTATGGTTATCATTGGACCAAATGAACGAAACATTTGGCAGATGAGTGGAAAACTAGAAGGACATTGTACAGTCAACCAAGCTGAGAGCTTTGCAATACTCAAGGCTCTCCAGTATGTAGACACTCATTTTAATAATGAAAATAAAACTTATGTGGAAATTCTTAGTGACAGCAAGACAGCCTTACTACAAGTCCACAAATTAAACACAAAACTGAACATCATTGCACAAACAGTAACACTTCTCCAGTGCCTATCTGTGAAAGGTCTTAAAATTTCTTTTACGTGGGTTAGGGGCCACTCTGGCATTGGGGGAAATGAGAGGGCTGACCTTCATGCAAAGAAGGCAGCACGATCATCAACGGAATCAGTGTTTGGAGAGCTCCACAGCTGTTGGCTTCATAAGGAACTTAAAAAACTTACTATTTCGGACTGCAAGCCAGATGGAACAGCGAATCTACAGGAAGAACTATCCATGATTTCCTGCCTGACATTGCAAGTAGACAAAGGATGGACTACTTCACCCTCGATTTCCACCTATCCCAAATCCTAACTGGGCATGGGAATTTCCGTGCCTACTTAAGATTTCTCCACAAAGGAGACGGAATATGTGACTGTGGTTCAGGGGAAGACGAAGATCCCCACCACATAATCTTCAGGTGCCCCAAGTTTAAGACACTAAGAAAGACCCTCACCGAGACTATACAGGTGTAGCCTCCATTGGCCTTGTGCTCCAAAAGACTTTTTCATGAGTAAGCAGACATTAAACGCTTTAAAAAATTTCATCGTGGGCACCGGGGTCACGGTACCTTCGTTCTAGGATTCTCTGGGCGTCCTAGCTGTCAGCTTCACTCGGAACACCCATTGCAACCTGGCCGAACTGGCTATTTGGGAATTCCAGTCTTGTTACCACTCCCACTGGGTCCTGGCCATGTTGGCCATCGGGGGACTCTTGTGTTGTGTTGTATACCCCTGTATTATGGCCAAGTTGGCAATCTGGGGTTCTTTGCATTGTTGCTCCCCATTGTAACCTGGCCAAGTTGGCTGTCAGGGGACTTTTCGTGTTTATTATTATTATTATTTATTTATTTATTTTTATTTTATTTATTTTTTTATTTTTATTTTTTCTTTTCTTTCATGTGTAACTTTGTGCTATTGTACTCCAGCACATTCCGGGTTGGTATTTTCAGCAGCTTGTGTCGGTTGCCCACGTGCATAGCTGTCAATTGCTCGCGTTCCCTGTCTCCCTAGAGGCAGTACCATGTGCGGGCTTATTTTCTGTATATATTTTGACCATACTGTTATCTGTGGACTATGTCCCATGTGTTGTAACTAAAGTATACTCAATAAATGGAACGCGANAGGAATTTCCTAACAATATGGCATGTATTCAATATAGTGGCCTTCTGTAGTGTGATGTATGTATTTCTACTCAATTGTAACGTTCCCAGGCTTTTGTGTAGCGTATGTGGTATCACACCTGTACAGGAGAGAACAACAGGTACAATAAGCACCCTTTCCATTCTCCACAGATGCCTTATTTCCTGGGCGAGTTCTGTGTACTTGCTAATTTTTTCAGTGCATGTGTTTTGTACATTGTGAGTGTTTGGAATGGCTATTTCAGGTTGATATTTTCAGCAGCTTGTGTTGGTTGCCCACATGCATAGCTGTCAATTGCTCATGTTCCCTGTCTCCCTAGAGGCAGTACCATGTGTGGGCTTATTTTTTGTATATATTTTGACCATACTGTTATCTGTAGACTATGCCCCAAGTGTTGTAACTAAAGTATACTCAATAAATGGAACGAGATGGCGCCATGGTTCCCACTTCACACTTTCCTATCATTCCTTACTTTTCTTCCCTCTACATCCTTCGTTTTCAAAGGCTATGCCATAAGGTTCGGCCTTCTAACACTTTTAAACATATCATATCTTCCTCTATTGTCATACATTCAAGAGCATCGGCATATGCGATATCAAATAAGTTATCTAAATCTACTTGAAAAGTTTTCTCACAGCACTTATAAACATCTTGAGTTTTCTTAATTTTTTTTTGCAACTCTCTCCAAACATGATAAAGTTCCACCAATTTCTTAATACAGTTAGGTATAGATTTTGTAGGTATTCTAGCTTTTTCCCAAAATATGATACATTCACGTATTCCCAGATTTGTACTTTCACTCACAGTTAATTTAACTTTGCAAATTTTAAAAAACAAAACTGTGAGTACTTGCCGATTTGACAGTAATTTTGCACCCGTGATTTGGTGGTTTATCTCTCCGACTAAGAAAATATGTTTTTTTAGCACTTCATAATTCCACTGACATCTTCGAAAAATAAAACTATATGTGTTAGTAGCCCGACAAGTTGTGTTAGAATGGTGAACAAAGCGAATATGCGCCACTTCTTTAGCACAACATGTATGGACATGACTCAATGCAACTCGGCATGGGTTCCAGTGATCAAAATGAGCTGAAATTTATTGTGCGAGTATTTAAGGGTAAAATAAACAAAACTAGGCCATATGTGTTAGAAAAAAAATATTCAAGACATAAGGGACACCCTAGTATATATATAATTCAATAGTTTTGGAAGCAATATTTCTTAAGACTTCTAGTTTGCTTCGATTTTCTGAGTCAAAATATATCACAAACTTTTGTTTTAAGTATATGAAATTTAAAGCATTGTATATTTATAATTATTATTATTATTATTTATTATTAATTAAATGAAAAACATAAGAAAAAGTTGTGAATTTACCTTGGAGTAGCAGGTTTTCCTTTATTTCCAGCTTTTTCAGAACTGCCCATTTTATCCATCCATGTACCACAGTTGTGTTCATTTCCTCCATAAACAAAACCAGTTTCAAGATTTACACCAATATTATTGTCAAAACCTAAAATGTATTTTAAAATAAACATTTACTGAAGATGAAAAAATAAATTAAATATTAAAACTTTTGAAATAAATGATATATGAATTTCTTAAATATAATGCTATATATTAATGACAAGTGATTATTTAAAATTAAAAAATTGTACAAAGTTTGAATTTACATTTCTTTATAATTGTCATTTTATGCAAACAAAACAGTGTGTCTGAAAATATGGGATCTTAAATGAAATCTAATTTAGTCATTCCTTTTTTTTTTCAAATTAAAAATATCTGATGACTTTAAATTTGGGGAGGAAGAAATAAATTTATACTACTCTTTGGCTAATAATATATCAACTAAATCTGAAAGTACTATGCAATGTCAATGATTGTCCCAATGTCTATGTTCTTGGCACCATTGCAGTCTGTGATGTCAATGGTAGAGAATCAAGGGAGCTATTAATATTGAATATAGAGACATCCTGAAATTGCCGATAGCAAATCAATATTTTTCTTTCATACCAGATACTTTTTGGTGTGATATCAATACTTTTCCTCAGATATCAGATCTGGTATCATTACATTTTTCACAGACTGGTGAGATCCAACTGAAATTGGATTTTGCAGCCGAATCCGAAACCAAAATCAGATTTGGATTTTAAAGTCAGTTTTGGCCAAAATCAAAACCAAATCTTTAACTATTTTTGGTTAAATTAAACTTTCATAGTAAATATTAATGACCAAAAATTAGTAAATTTATTACATCAAATTTCATTTTCAGAATCTATATATAGTATGATTAGTGTTCAGATTACTATTTATAAATAATTTGCCAATTATTTGAAAAACTTGAAAATATATTAAAATCTCAAATCAACTGATACAGTATTGGTAACATTTAGTTTATATTAGAAAATCAGTTTTAAAAATTTGTTAATAATAACTAATGAGAATAAAGCACGTTATTTATTTAAAATTAAAAAGTTTCAATAAAAAATACCATAGACTAAACAGCAATGACTGGCATGATTTCCAGTATATTGATCTTAATGTATAGAAACATTAAGATTGATACCAATATCAATACTTTAAAACTATTCATGACACCAGTATTAGTACATTTGTGGTATCTGGATATCCCTAATTGAATGGCAAAGTTTTCTCTGCAACAAATGCTGCTGAACAGTTTGTAGACATTTCTTGGTGTATGACAAGCCTTCATTTTTGTTTTAATGCTCAAGATGAAATGCTATGGTATGTAAGTACCATATGATACAAGTGCTGGTCTTCTCATTCATTTGTATAATGTTTTTCTCCAGATTCTTCATGTTGGTACAACCTTCTTCCTGCTGACAACAAATTCACAGCATTATATTTGCATTTCTTCAAACATGATTTACAATATTGTAGAAGGCTAAATCATCTTCCTGCTTTGCTTGAAATTCAACAGCCATAATTACAGGTCTCTTCTGCTGCAGCTAGATAATATTAGCAATTAAGAATGCAACAGAATTTAGCTCAGTGTTTCTCAAATGGGGGCGATATCGCCCTATGTGGGCATTTTTCCATGTTGAGGGGGCGATTAGTAACAATTTATATTTTGGGGGCAAAAAACAATTTTCTGGGTGATATAGTAAAACATTATATTAAGATTAATTAGATATTTTATTCGTTATATCATACAATAATTAAACAAATAACATTATACTAGTCACTAGTCTATTCAATGCAGTACGAATTTGGCATTAGCCTTGGCCCTCAGCATTGGAATTTTGAAGTAAAGGGGGCAATACTACATAATGGTTTTATTGAATGGGCGACGATTTGTTAGAGGTTGAGAAACACTGATTTAGCTGATATTGTTTATATTTATATCTATGCTGGGGATGGTTGATTAGATATAGCTTGCACAAGAAATTTCTGAATGGGTTGCCATTGTAATCATTTTATTCCCTATTATGACCTACCCACAAAACAAATTTCCAACCAATCTGATACATTCTTCTTGGTACTACAATTTCTATAAATAGCAGTGTATGTTCATAAAAATGTATATATTAAAATATAACTGATTGTTCAAATACTGTATTAATAACTTCATCAAATAAAATAAAGGTATTCCTTATGTGAGAAACCTGGGGCCACTGGGATGATCCCTAATGACCACTTACTCAGCAACAGTCTGTAAGGACCGCTCATGTTGTTGTACTGGATGGCTAAGAGGGTAAAAACAAGTGGGGAGGTCATGAAATCCGTAGACAGGTTATCAATGAGACAAGGTGAACACAAACAACACATTTATTAAACTACTAAGAGATTATACATATCGAAGGCAAAAACAGAAATGACATACGTATAATAATAACAGGAATCTGTTCTATATCTACATTCTATCCTAAACTAAAGAACAAGAGAGATACCTCACTAGGAGGGATGTGTTGGAGAGAGAGACAAAATTCTGTCAAGGCTTTATCTCATGGGATTCGATCTCGTCATATAGGGCATTAGTAGGATGCTCTGGTATCGGAGGTTCCTAATCGTAGTTTCCCTTGGATGTCGGTATGAAGCTGGTGTCCCTTGATGTCTGCTCGGTTATGTCCGATGTGGGGTATGCTCCATTGATCTCCGACTGTAGAAGTCTGCAGGGAGATGTCTGCTGAGGGTGTTTACCTGGCGGGGTCCTCTTCGGCTGTCTGCCCGGAGATGCAAGTTCGACCCCGTTTTATACTTATCTTGGAGGGGGCATCATGGGGGAAGAAAATCTGATGCAATCGCCAGCTCGACTTGTGTACAGCTGGGTTTATGTTATTGTCATCCTTTCCTTCCAATATTTGACATCTTCCCATCATAAATTTGTCAAACTCTGATTTATTGACTTCAGGTGACTCATGTCAGAATACAATTTACCTCATGACAGAATACGTCAGAACCTTAGTAAAATTCATTGCCTTATTTGGTCATTTAGATCGACTTCTCATCGGTTCACTCGGACTTAGAGGGAAGTACAGAGTTTTGTTTTACCCTTGCCAGTGACCTTTTGGTTACTCTCTGGACAGTAACAGGTGATTGTCGACGTTAATTGCCTACTTATCTGCACCTTATATTTACATTAGAATTGAACGATCCCCTGGTGTGAGAGGAGTCCTTCTTCAGAAGCTTAAAGTCACCTTTGAGGTTGACTCAGTGACGCAGCACACTGAGGGGTTAAAAGGTATACTCTTTACTTCACGAGAGTGGAAAAGAAAAAGGAAATAATGATAAAAATAAACTATACCAACATGTGAAAATTTACACTTGCGTCTGAATTCTCACACTTATATAACACAGTAGTTACATTCCAAAAAAGTGCCATGTTATGCAAATCCATACTGTACAAAACAAAGGACTAATGCAAAACATAGGATTAGGTTTTAAAAGTTAACAAAAGTATATTATTCTCTTTCATTACTAAGATAAATATGTTTATTGAAGTAATTGATAATTTATTTCCAATCAATAATTAATTAACAGTCACAATTAATGCTACTGTATTACAGTTAATATTACTTTTAGTTAAACAATGGTTTTTTTCTTTTTACAAAGTATTGTAATCATCAAAGCTGTTTTGTTGTTCATCATCAAAAGTATCAGCAACATTTTCATATTTTTTTATTTTTATGGAAGAAAAATATGTTATTAATTAATTGAAAATTTGGTCTAGTGAATTGCATTTGTTCATTCCAGTATTGAGCAACTTTTTTCCAGAATTTGTGTTCAAATATCAAATTGTTCACGTACCAAGATACTGTTGTAGTTATTTCATCATTTTTATGAATGAAGTAATCATTTGTAGGTAAGTAATACCTATGGTTAAAAAAAGTTTAATAACACTTACCTAAAAATGTTTAAATAAACTTTACCAAAAACAAAGATTAATCTATAAAAAGAAAACACAGTAAAAGTCTTAAGGGCTAAAGTCTGAAGGCAATGATAATGACACCTGATTCATACAAAAGTTAGGACTAGAAATAAAAAATTACACTATCAGTTTTCATTAAAGTATACCTGATGAAAAGCACAAAATAATTTGAAAATGTCGATATTCTAAAATCTGTGGGCAAATGTTAGACAACACGCATGCTTACTTAAATTTAAAAAAAATATCAAATAAACTTTACACTTAAAAATTGTGAAAGTTTGTATGGAGGATTTCCAAAACAGTGTTGCAGAAATACCATGTTGTATGAGGGATACCAGTATCTTAAAATTAAATAAATTTGATATCAAATTAACAAGCATTAATAAATTTATTAAGTCTCATCTAAAACCCTTTTAACAATTTGAATAGTCTTGAACAAGTAATATAAATTCAATTAATTTATCACAAGCATGTTACAATGGCTTCCATCTTCAGAAAAAAAAAAAATTTTTAAAGTAAAAGGGAATTTATTTATGATGCAATAATTATGAATTTATGACAAATGATCTAATAGACCATTACAGTCAGGCATGTGAGCAGAGTGATCAAGATGTTTACCTACCATTTTGGAAAACACCAAAATGAATCTGTGCAAACAAATCATGAGTTTTTCATGAATGGTCTGTCCCACTTATGTAATCTTTGTCCCTCATCACCCACCTTACTGTGGGCTTAGCCAAACCCACAATGTGAATGGAGAAAAGGCCAATTTAGTGCTAACAAGGTGAGGAAAAAGATGAAAATCAAGTAACACATTTTCCAGTACATTTAAATTTAAATATCAGTTATCACTATTTTTCATTTATTCACTAGCAAATTTATTTTTGAATCACCAATTTGTATGAAGAGATTAAAGCTTTAATAAATAAAAAATGATGATAAAATATTTATTTATACTGCAAGAAAAATCATATATGAACAAACTAATTTGAAAGAAACATTTAAGAGATTCTCAGCAATTTTAGATAAAATTTTATTTTAATAAGATGCTAAGATATTTATAAAAAAAATGTATAAATTTAATAAAGCATACCTTCATGTTTCATTTGCATATCTAATTGATAACCTGCATTTCGTTCACGAAATATTACTCCCTCAAAATGCCTTTGGAGAGCTTCTTGCATGACAATATGTAACTCCTGTTCCTGTAATAATGTATATGAATACATATAATTTAATTTTATATTAAAAAGTTTTTCATTCAATTTAACAAATCCATCTAACTGTAAATTATTTAAAATTTTCTATTTAATTACACCAAAATGATAAAATTTTACCTTTACAACAAGCTAATAAATAAGTAATGGTTAGTTTTATATTTGAAATTCTTTGTTATAAAAAAAATTTAATATAATTACTTCATAACCTGCTTCTTTTGGTACAGCGTCATCTGTTGGAAATAATCTCCAAACTTTGTCTTTGATTATGTTATAGCCATCAGGTGCTATATTGCAATATTCCTGAATACATTGTAGCCACCACCAAACAGCATCTCTACAATTAAATCTTGCATTTACTCCTCTATCAAGCAAATTTGGAATGAGACCATGACGAAGACATCCAGCATAAGCTAAAATAATATATCTAAAAAATAATTTTAAAAATTTTAACAAAAAACTATAATTAACTGAACTTATTTTTATTGCAAAAATTAAGATTTATAACCTTGCTTCTTGAAATCTTCCAGGAATTAAAAAGAGACCCCTAAGTGCAATGAAAGTATCACGCCCCCAGTTTCTTGCATAACCAGTTGAAAAATGAGGTAGTCCTTTAATGTATTTAAACTAAAATTAATCATTAAATAATATACTGAATTAAAATTATAATACTGAATTAAAAATACATTAAACACTAAGTAATTAAATTCTGAATGTTAAATTAAATACTAATTTACTACTATAATGTGAATTTTACATTTAAAAATTAAGTGAGAAATGAGTTAACAATTTTTATTTAAACTTTCTAAATTAATTCCCTATTATTTAAGAATTTCATAAAATCCTTAAATAATAAGGAATTAATTTAAGAAATTTATTAAATAATGTTTTTTTTTTTTTGTGTTTTGTTTTTCACATCTATATATATATAACCCATTGAACGGGCATCTGTCCACGTAATGGTATGCCAAAAACAGGCACTAGAGGTGCCCTAGCAAAGATTTTAAATTAACAAATTATTTTTATTTGTAATAGAAATTTATTATTGATATGAATTTATTATTTATACCACAGAATGGTATAAATAATTATTATATGCCTTGATTAACCTTGCGCTGCATGTTTACAACAACCCCTTACTCAGTGAACGTCATGCAATGACTCGGGAAATTTGTTGAAAAAATGGCAGATACACTTAAAATCGAGGTTTACAAGCGAAGGTAAATAAACAAATTAAACTATTTTAAAGTATTTATAGAATGTTTAATAGGTAGAAATATAGATCCGTATGGCACGATTGGGATGGTAAGATTTACCCTCCAAATGAAGGGGTGGTGACTCCTCTCTGTGCGAACAATAAATGTCTAATGAACCATACCCCTATGCACGACCCTTCCCGAGATATAGCCCTCCAAAAATTATTCTACGAGTCACATGACCACCTGTTTGCCACAACTTACCCTGTGAATGAGCGGGTCTGTGACCCCTCGAGTGTACGCTAATTTTTTTTTCGTGTGGTAGGCTCCCTTTTGATCACGGTGTCACATGACTGGGAATGATGTAGGCAAATTTTCAGGGGCTTATATCTCACGAAGGGTCTTGCATAGGGGTGTGGTTCATTTGACTTTATTGTTCGCACAAGGGTGCTACGGTTTGGGGGGGATTGCCACCCCTTCATTTGGAGGGTAAATCTTACCATTGGCACTTTAACGGAGCTGTAGAGCATATTAATAGGATCAAAAAAGTCAAAGGAACCGTGCCTCATGGAAATTTGTAAAGAACGCCCACTAGGGAGTGTCCCAGCTACTAGTTTAATATATAGATACCTGCAGCAAGCGTAACACAACTTTGTTGTTTGAGCCCAGTCTCTTCATCAACAGTTGATGGTGGTTGTGGTGGTGAGAGAGAAGGAGATAATTGGGGTAAAGGTGAACTTTTAACACAACCTCCCAAAATTACTGAAGCTAATGCTAAAGCTTTTACAAAAGTTGATCCTTCAGCTATAAATCTGTAAAGATTTAATTAAGAGTAAGTATGTGTATTTTTAATAAATGTAATTTTATTCTACTGTAAAATCTAAGAATTGAACATTTAAATTAACATACTCAGACATATTTCTCCAGATGACAGAAAGAAGGACATTATATGCTCCAGTTACTATTGTATCAAAGTATGATGGAATTAAATAACGTGGTATTTGACTAAGAAAATGAAACACTTTTTCAAACCACTTTCCGAGCTGAAAACAACATTATACACATTAGTATATAATAATTGATTTCTTGAAAAAAAATATGTAAAAATTTCCATTACTTCTTTTGTTGAAGGATGTTGCATTAATCGATTAGCCACATAAGATGGTAACCAATCACCTTGTCTTAAGTTATCACAGAAAGGATGTCCAAGATCATTATGAAGATGTATAGTAGATAATTCACTCATAATACCTAAATTATTATTATTTAAAATGTAAGATGTTTGTTGAACTTTAAATCAAAAAATTAAAATACTAGTAATTAACCATTTACATTTCTATTCATATGATAAAAAATTAAAGTAATTTCTCAATAATTTTAATACTGTTAATTTTAAAATACTGAGTTTTGCTGAATGTCTGAAGAAGAGAGAGGGTTACAGAAACATGGACAAACTGGGACAAAAGGAAAGGAGGAGTAAAAATATATGTTTGAATTTCTTCTAAATTTCTTCAAAAATATATTCTTTACATATATCTTAGCAAGTACAAAAGGATATAAATATTTTATTATTAATTGGAATAAATTAAATTTTCAGCATTTTTAAACAATTAACACTTATTTATAGTTAGTTAATTCTTACAATAAAAAAATATATATAGATTAATACATGTTTAGTTTATATACAAACCTTGCAAACCGCAGTAAATAAGATTCCCATAATTAGGAATATGGTATGTTCCTCCACCTTTCCCATCATCTCTTTCTTCAGGATCACATCTAAATAATACTCTATTTAAATCAGCTAGAGATAATCTGGATACTACAGATTCAAAATCATCTCCTTGAGGTCTAATATGAGTACCACTGTATGACCTCATCCGGTATCCAAATTGTGCAACTGATGTTCTTATTTTCAATATAGCTGCTCGAGCCACTGCATTTAAAGATACTCTAAAAATCAAAAGAAGATTAAACAAGTTTTAATAATTTAAATAAAAAATTAATTTGAATCTAAAATTTTAATTCTGTTAAAAATAGTATACATATGATACACTTTGGATTACATGGATTTTAATATGTATAATACAATTTTAACTATAAAAATGTTTATTTTATTTAACTGCAACCATGAAAATGTATGGTTTTATTACTACTTATTCCAACAATAGAATTTATACTGTTTCTCCTTTTCTATACAAGTCTTTGGATGTGTGAGATCCAGAATTTGTGTAACGAAAATCACACTCTTTTATTAACAAAAATGTTAATCAATTTACTTTCGTTTATGTAACGAATTAGAAAAAAAACGATCTTAGCCAGGAATGTGTAAACCTTCCTGTCATAACTATCAACATCTACTGTTCTCTGCAGAACTTGCAGCTCATCTTGCAGAAAAGTTTATAGTTAACATCCAACTTTCGTCACTTGTTTTAAGTCCCTGGGTAAGTACCTATAACCTTTATCTCATGAACATCCGATCACGTGGTGTAAATTCCCCACAAAAAGCTATAAAAGACAGTTCTTACCCCCTCTTGGGGGAGTCTCTTAACGAACGCCAGACCGACGACATCACGCTGATTCTCCGAACCCGCCGAATTCCGATCTACGAGTGTCGATATCAAATCATCAAAGTCATGAACATATATTTTGTGCCTCAGTTGGATTAAAACCACCTTTCCTTAGACATTTATGTGCCTACATTGACTTAATCGTCTAGGAACTCTACAAAGAGGCATGAAAAAGTGTGTAAACTCTCCCTCTCTAGCATATTAGGCGGTTTAGAAACGCAATTTGTGTAGTCTTTTGTCTAATTCGCTTATTTTAATAAATTGTTGTTATATTTGTTATAAATGGTAGACTCCTTTACTCGATCACGCCCTTCACCTTATCGTTGACCCCAAAATTCTCTCCCTTCACTCGCCTGACTTGTCATCCTGACTAGTGACGCAAACCGGGAGACCTCTGACCTCCCCGCTGGTTGATGGGGTAAATAATTTTCCTTTCAGTACATAATTAATATTAATATTCCCAGATTCATCAATGGAATATGTAAATAGTAAATCAGTAATCAATTTTTGAGAGATAATTCATTTAATGATTCAATTATTGTAAATGATAAAAATCAACCCCACTATCAAAATGCAATCTAAGCAAAATTTTAAAATTTAGTCTATGACAAGAATTCATATAACTCATTTTTTTATTATACACTTTGTATAAATTTTTTTTTAATGTAATATTCAAATGTTAAGACATGTTTTAAAAAGTGCTAAAAAGTGTTTTGCTTCTACACTAAAATTAAGTATTTAACTAGCAAGGGCTTATAGAAGTAGATTATAT